GTTGCCTTTGAAAGAATGGATTAGACCTTATTTTTTAATAATTCACACAGCAGTCTCAACTTCCCAACAGCTTCTCATTAAAGAAGCAGGCTCGGCTTCGACCAGAGCAGCTTCCAAAAGACTTAATCCAGATCTTTCAGGGTCCAACATAAATTGGTTTATCCATCCATGAACCCTCCAGAGGCCTCACACAGAGGCAGGACAGACACAGTTCTGGGTGTCACCTCCTGCACAGGGAAGGAACTTCCAAAGGTGAATGCCACAATGTGCCAGGTAAAAACAAGCTGAGAGGAAGGAAGCAAAATTAAAGAAACACACTAAAAAAAAACAAAACAAAACAAAACAAAAAAAAACAAAACAAAACAAAAAAAAAACTACACAAAACCATCCAGCTAAAAGCAACTAAAAGGGTATTTTCTCATTAGCAACTGAGTTATCCTCTTTGGCACACAGGAGGTTGGGGGGGTTGTTAATTAAAGTGAAGTAAGGCAAATTATGACAGGCTGTGCTGAAAACCAGTGAGTGGGAGAGGTGGCCCTGGGAATCCTGCTGGGAATGGTGAAGAGGAGACCCCAGGGAAGAGCAGCACAGGGATACCCCATGGGAGAGGGAACAGGGAAAATCCTGGGAAAGAGCTGGGAAGGGGGAAAGGTGTCACAAGGATGCCCAGGGCCAGGGAAGGTGCAGAAGAGATCCCAAAATTGGGCAGAATGCAGGGGAGCGTTATCAACAGGGATGTTCCATCGGGAGTGCAGGAGGGACCCATCTAGGGTCAGGGTGCTGGAGGGGTGGTGAGTGCCACATCCATGGGGGAGGGTGCAGGAAAGCCCCCAGGAAGGAGAAGCGTGCCCTGAGCTGCTGGAGAACGAGGGGGACACAGTGACAAACCCCCGCCCTCCTCACATTTATGTCACCCCAAGGGGGCTCAGCCACCTCACGCCGGAGGGGCGGGAAAAAATAGAAATACACAAAAGCGCAGAGAGGCTCTGTCGGGCCACAGAGGGAGAAGCGGAACAGAAAAACGGTGGATAAAAGTTAAGCGAGGCTGGGAGCTCGGGCCCGGCCGGTCCTCCCCTCACAGCCAGGGGAGGGGATGGAGGGGATGGAGGGGAGGGGACCCCGGGCCCAGCCCGGGGTGTGCGGCCACACACACCACACACACACACGCCGCTGCTGCCGCCCCGTTACCTGTGAGGCGGATCTTGATGCTGGATCCGTTCCGGCGGGTACCGGGATTCGACATCGCGCCTGGAGCAGGAGGAGGAGGAGGAGAAGGAGGACGCGGCGGCGGCGCCGAGCTCAACCGGCGGCCCCGCGCAGCCCCGCCATGCGAGCCCGCCCGCTTCTCACGATGCCGGGAATGCCCGGATCCGTGTTCCGGTGGCCGCCGCAGGCTCGGCGCCCTCAGCCGCCGCCTCAGCCCCAGCCGCCGCCGCGCCCGCCCGGCCCGGCCGCGGAGCGCCGTGGCCACGCCCCCGCCACGCCCCCGCGCACGGCGGAGGGCGGTGACGTCAGCGCGCACAGCGGCGCGGCCGCGGCCGGACGCCATGAGGGGAAGGTCGGGCGGGGAAGGTCGGGGTGTGGCGCATGCGCGGGAGGGGTCCGGGGAGCGCCCCCTGGCGAAGGGGAGAGCGCGGGGGAACGGGGAATTCGGGAATGGCGGAACGGGAATGGGGTGGGGGAATAGAGGGGGAATTGGGGAGCAGGGATGGGGTG